GAACGTCCTCTGTCCTCAGGGAGCTGTGGGTGGGGACGTGCTATTCCCACCACAGCCAGCCGTGAGCCGGGATTTGGGTGGCTGCCTCTGGACACCACTTTTCCCAAGTCCTGGAAGAGACTAACATCAGGTTGGTTGTTGGGTGTCTATATGCTTGGAACAGGGGCAGGAGAGGAGGTGGCAGGTCGGCTGGGGAGAGAGGCGGAGAGAAGAGAGACTTCGCGGGGCATCACAGGTGCTGACTGTGAGCCGACAAGGTGAGAGTCTTGGCAGAAAGGGGTAGTGCGGAGACAGGCAGTGGGATGCTGAGGGAACTGGCAGAGGAAGGCTTCGCTTCACAGACACTACAGATAGAGGAGGTTATGTCTAGATAACTTAATCTTTAGAACCACCTGGGGAATGTTTATGGGTGTCCTTAGGAGGGAAGATGCGTCAGAAGATGTCCACTTGAAAGGGTCCTGGAAAATCTGAAAGACACAGTTCCTACCCTCAAGGATATGCTTGTGTAACTAGACCATTGCCGCCTGGCCACAGGCAGAGGAAAACAGCCACAAGGCTACTGCTTCTAAAAGGCAAAGAAGTTAATATTTCTCAAACAACTGGGCTGGTGTAGTTTCTTTGGGGAATAAGCTTGCTCTGAACTAGGAACCAATTCCCTCCAATGCAAAGCCTCCTGAGATTGTGATTGGGTCAAGTTGAATCTGTGGATCAACAGATCAATCTGGGGAGAACTGCCAAAACAGTGATGAAGTCAGGGTGGTACTGGTATAAAGACAGACAAATAGATTGTGATAGAGAGTCTGGAAACAGTATCAGGGGAGAAATGCTTTTGTAACAGGAGACAAAACTCCCAATGTCTTTACTGTTAATCACTAGGCTAGTCTGCATTTTACAGAATCCTTCCATTCCCACAAGATCTCCATGAGATAGACAGCCTTATCTTAATTATATAGATAGGTGAGAACTGGAGCTTGTCTAGACTAGATGCAGTAAAGCATCATTTATGAGATACCATTTGAGAAACAATGGCAATAATCCCAAATTCCCAGATAACTCTCCCTAGAAAAGGATTTCTGGTATACTCTGTATCATCTCAAGTAACAGAAAATCAGATACTGAAATCTGTCTTCTCTTTTTACTATAAGATTCTTGAAAGCAGAGATTGACATCATCTAAGTTTAAAAAAAAATCTCTAGTGTTTAGTTCAATGCCTAGATCTATTAGTCAGGTTGGGGTTGGCTATGCCATTGTAAAGAATAAACCCTGAATTTTTAGTGGCTTAACACACAAATCTTTACTTCTTGCTCACACCAAATCAGCTGATCTCCAGGACTATTTCTTTCCAAATGGTGATTCAGAGATCCAAGCTCCCTTTGCCTTACAGCTATGCCTCCTGGAGAACATGGCTCCCAGAATCCTGTAACAGGAGAGAAGGAGAGAGGGTCACATATCAGCTCTTAAATTCCTGACCTACAGTTAACACATGTCACTTCCACTCCTAGCCCGCTGGCCCAATCCGGTCATATGAGCCCCACCCACATTTAACTAACTGGGAAATGTTGGGGAGCAGTGGCTGCCTCTGCCTTCCTGGTGGATGGCATGCATTCAGCAAACCTTGTTGGATGAACAAATGAGTAAACCCGACACAGATTTAAATTATACTATCACAGAATTACTCAAATCTTGAATCCACTTTCAACCTCCAGAGCCTCGGAGGAGAACCCGCTTGTCATCAACAAGAGAAATCATGCAAATGGGTCTACCATTCATTAATAATCCACACTCCAAGGCAGTGTTCTAGAAAGTTTATATGGGCTATCGTGTTGGTCCTCATGAAGGCTCTATGGGATAGGCATTAATATTCTTCTTTCACAAATAGTTTTTTCATGGAACCATGGTGAGCAAACAGCAGAGCTGAGTTTGAGCCCACGTTGGCGAAGTTACAAAGCTTGTGAGAGTCTGTCTTCCTGGATGCTCTCAGCTACTGATGTCTTATGGAGTACTGGGAGCAGCTGAAAGCAACGGCCTTCAGAAATGCAGTTTGGAGTGGATGCCAGAGTGGGAGGTGCTAGGAGGAAGGCGGAGAGAGACCGAGCTCCATCCTATAGCTGCTCTGTCCATCCAGACCGCACTGCCCTTCCTATCTCTCTCCTGCCACCTTCTGGCATCTGCCACTCTCACAAGAAGCAACACCTTCCAGTTCTCAAGTCAGTAGTGTTCAGAGTTCAGAGCTTGCTCTGAACACTTGTGTCATTTCTGACGTCTGTTTTGGCACTCTCCATCCTTTTTGAACAAATGAAGAGGCAGGGCAGTGATCTCCATGCAGGACACCTTTCCCAGGGGTCTCGGTTTTCTGGAAATTGACCAAGCTCACTTTATGCAGCTCTTCTGACCCTACAGAGCAGAGACTTGAACGTTTGCTAGCTCACTGCGGATACTCCAGACTGGCCATGTCTGTAGAGACACCCAGAGTGAGTCAGAGGGATTCCTGGTCAGGCTGTGCCAGTCTCGTTCTGTGAACATGGGGAATTCACTTGGAGTCTCTGGGTTTTCATTTCTTTCATCTCTGATTTCTTACACTGATTATCCTTTATCTCACTGGATTAAGATGAGTGACAAATGAAATTAAATATGGAAGGGTTCTCTGTAGACTGTTGAGACTGATTTAAACTTGCAAGGTGATTGTTTATGACCAGTTAAGTGATGGTGTTTTCTTACTTTCTGATCGAGTTAGGATTTTTGCTAACGGAAGGGAGCAAAGATGCATTTGCCCGTGGCGTTCCAATGCCAGCTCTCACCCTGCAAAGCATGCTTGGCTGCACACGTTTGCTTCTTTTCATGATGCTTAAGAGCCAGGCACTGGGAGTCAGAACATACTACTAGGCGTGTTGGGCATCACATATTTTAATCTCTCTGAACATCTGTGAAACAGGGATAATAATGGGATAATAATATTTGTGCTTGGGAATTATTATATAGGTTGAAATATTAATGCATATAAAACAACTTACACGGTGCATGACACATCATGAAGCACTGGGTAAATGGCTGCGATTTTATTTTCATTATTAAGGAGCCATTACGCTGTCTCCAAGGGTCTTTGTAATCAGATTATTCCACTACTCAGTAGAATTAGAACGTCCCTAACCTTTCCAAATACCATAAGAGTCCTTGGATCAGTGTCTCCCAGTCTACCCTAAACCGTCTCCAACACCCCATAGGCAGCCCACAATTCACAACATGGCTGTGCTCCAAAACTCTACTTGGAAGTCATTTGTTTGAAACTCAGCACTTATTTTCCCATAGAAAGAATGCTATTAAAGTAGTGGTTGGATTCCCGAGTGACTGCAAATACCCACTTGATATGCTAAGTAGCAGAAAACTGGCATAATTGCCATGCAAACGAGCACAAAGTAATGTATTGCTAGTCATAGGTCCAAACTAAAAGCTAAGAAAATTGTGTAATAAATGCTTTCTTTAATTTTCATAAATGCTCCTGATGAGGAAAAGCAGGCTTAATTAGAGGAAGACAGAGTCCAGCAGTAACTTCAGTAAGGAATCTTAAAGTGCCTCTGAGGGTATTTTCAAAGGCTTTGGAGGTTCTTTACTGGCTCTAATGTGACTTCAAAACGGTTTTACTTTTTTGTTCTTAATCCACGGGACTAATCTCATCCATCACATTGGGATAGGGTTACTTTTGGTTTGCAAAGGGAAGGAGACATGAGAGACTAGGGAAAAGGAAGAAAGGATGAGAAAGATTTCCTGAAAAAACAAACCAAAACAAAAAAACAGCCAATAGCTTGGCGAAATCAGGGAAGGGGGAAAAGCAGATGTCAGTAGTAAGATGGATTACCTGGACCGCCAGCAGGGAACGGATGGGGTGAGAACATACACCACTGGCGAAAGGGAAATGGTGTCCTGACGGGTCAAAGAGTTCCCCTCTGAAGCCATTAGGTGGCGCCACTGGGCCAGAACAGCTTGTGATGAAAGCCACCTCAAGGCTGGTGAGGAAGAGGCAACGAAGGCTGTGAGCTCCCATCTATTTGCTGCTAGGAACCAGCCCAACTAACCGGCTAGTTCCTTGTTCTGTACTTTATAGCCGCGGAGGAGGTGCTGAACTAGAATGTTAACAGGACCCATCCAGACGGAGGCCTTTGCATTGGTGACCAAGTGAAGCAGAGCAGGCGAGGACCTGGACATCAGCCCAGCCTTTAGTTTCTGGTGGCTTCAAATCCGGCAGAGGTTCTACCAACATGAATAAAAACCTGCAGTCTTTCAAAGGAGGGGCTGAGGCCCAGACAGATGAAATAACTTGCCTCTGCTCATTGGGCTGGTCATGTCAGTCACCTCCCCGGGCGCCGGCTGCCTCTGCGAGCACCGGCCCCCCGACTGCGTAGACCAGGCTTTGCTGTGCCCCTCCAGTGGCGGCCCTTTTCCCTGACACTGGTGAACCAAGCGGGGACAGGAGTGGAGCTGGAGTTGGAGGGATGAAACCCGGTGCAGATAAGTCTCCAGAAACCTCAGGGCTATGCTGAGAAGCATATTTCAAAATATGCTTATTTCAAAATAAGGAGCAGCAAATTCCAGGTACTTTTGCCAGGCTCTCCAGTGGAAATTCTTAGCGTGACAAGCTGTGTCAGGCGGAGCCCTGAACGTGGAGGCAGGAGACCTAGATCCATGCTGAAATTCTGCTCCGACGTGAACATGTGCACAGCTCTCCTCTGTCTAACATCCCTCTCAGCTCCATTGAGCACAGCACTTCCAACTGTCTCCTAATCCTGGCCGGGTGGGATTTGCGGTCATTATGGCTTACGGAGCTGGGACTGGTGGCTAATGACCTAATTAGGTCAGGATCACTCCAGAGTGAGCAAATCCTTCAGATAGATGTGCCTCCCCTCAGACCTCAAAAAACTCCTTCAACCCACAATAAACAAAGCTCCTGTTATAAAACAAAGATGTGATCCTCCCCCAACTTCCCTGCAGACTGGGTTCTGAAGAACTGTGTGTGCTTCTCCTCAGGGCAGAACGTGTCTGCAGGTCAGCAGGGGACATTTTAATTCCTGGGAAAGAAAACTGGCTAATGAGAGCGGTTGATGGGGTGGTGGCTGGAGAGGGCAGAATATTATTAGACAAAACAGAATAAAACGAAAACATGGCCATTATGGCCTGGAAGGGGTCCTGAGTCCTCGATTCAAAATGTGCGAGGGTTCAGGGAAAAGGCCAGACCTGATCCTGGACTGACAGAAACCCCAGTCGGTGTGTGACTACTGGCGCCTGTCCCTCTGCCCCCTCCCTCCCAGACAAATGTCATTCTCGGTTCCTGAGACCACTCCAATGAGAGGGACACTCCAGTCTCATTTTTACTCTGATATATGACCTGATGTCTCTGGGAACCCAAGTCCTCTACCCTGATCTTTCCTCCCTGTTTCAGGGACACCTCGGGGGGGCCTGTCGGCCTCAGTGACCCTGGGACCCTGCCTGGGACCCCAGCAGCCCTGGGCCCTCCCTCTCCTGCCCCCACGCAGCCCCTACCAGGGCCTTCTCCCGCCTCCACGTCTTCCCTTTCAGTGCCACTGCTGCTATGGCGATGGCTCTAGGCTTTGCGGCCTCTCTCCTTGAGACTTTCATCCCACAGAGATGAAAGCACTTCCGGCCAACCTTGAACTGTGTAATCTCTCAAACAAGGCCCCCAGATGGTAGCCTTGGTATTATCTCTCCCACTCCATTGGGAAACTTGGCATGAGTTCTCAGGGCGCGGGCCAAAGGGTCTTTAAGGACACCAAGCACCTGCACCGGGAGGTGATCTTCAGGGATAGCCTTTGCTTCCACCCGCCTTGTATCTCAGCGATCTGTCCTGTGCATTCCGCCCTGAGATTTCTTACAGAATTCCTAGGAGCTTTTATCCACATAGAATCTCTGATATCCCAGGATTCCTGAAATGTCGACACAAATCACATGAGTCATTTGAAACTTCAAATGAGCACAGGTTGCTTTCTAGCTAAACTGCATTCCATCAAACAGCAATATTGAAGAAAAGAGTCTGCCCTGAAATGCCAACCAGCCCCAGTCTGTGTCCATCCCCCTTCTCGCAGCCGGGGAAAATGATTTGAACTTCAGATCATTAGCAACGGGTACCACCAAGTGTCCGTGCTCTTAGATTTTAGCTTCCTCATCACTGGTATGTAAGTTACACCTCATCATTTTTTTTAACCATAGACCAAAAGCCTAAACAGATTAAATGAGCCAAAATGAGCTGAAGTTCTTGGTCGGTGAGCAAGAGACTTTTAGCCTTTTCTCCCCTTTCTCTTCTGCTTGTGCAGCTGGGATATAGGAGGAAAGAAGGAAAAATACTGGACTGGAGATCAAATAAAATGGGAATTAAAAAAACCATTAAATAACTTGGATCCTCCCATTAGCTTCTGGTGATTTTAAAGCCAGTTTGGATCAAACTGAAATACATAAAAACATGTAGGGTGGCCAGGGCTGTGTCTCCATGTAGGCAGTGGTGCTGCGTCTTGTCCCAGCCATGTAGTTGGTCAAACCCCTCCCATTGGTGCCAGAGAAAACCATGCCTCTTTAAAAAGAAAAGAAAAAGACTTTTTTAAAATCTCATGGCTTAGGTAGGATAGTCTGACTTTCTAGCATGGTCTTGTTGGTAAGAAATTGTGTTTGAGTGCAGGGGCGATGTCCTGGGGGCCCAGTGACAACCAGCTGGCTGTCTCTGGGGTCCTGTGTGCTTTCCCAACTGTACCTTGTTGGCTTCGTGGAGCTCCAGGAAGGGGGATGGCGCAGATGTGCAGTGCTGGGCAGGCCCCTGCCTGGGGCGCAGCGCTCCATGCACAGCAGGCACGGGTCTGTGTCACCCACCTCCACCCACCGCAGCCTGTCCTCCGTGCAGCCATGACTGTCCTGCTCTGGCGCCGCTCTGGTCTCTCAGGAATTTGCTTGTTACTCTCGCTGCGTAAATAAAGCTTCCTGGTTCAGTAGTGCCCCTGCAAAAAAAAAAAAAAAAATATATATATATATATATATAGTGCTTAGTCTCCCTTCCAAACCCAGAGAAAACTGAACAACAAAGGTGTCCCCTTCAACTATGAACCTTATATTGGACCTCTAGTGAGAATAATGGGCTCAGGACTCCACTAAGCTTTACCTATGCCATGAAAAGAAAAAAAGGGGGCATCGTAATTGTATTTATATCTTACAAAATTCTTTTCAATTCAATATAACAAGTCATTTATAAGAACCAACTGTTTTGCTCTGCACCATGAAATTGAAAAGGGAAAATGTCTATTTTTAGAGACTACCAGAAGACAGGATTCTGAGCTTTCCCCTGCCTGATCTTTCATGAGTTATTTTGTTTCCTAAGCCCCATTCTCTTCAAATGCAACACAAAGAGACTGATACCTTCCCTGTCTACTTCACAGGGAAACGGAAAGAAAATAGTAGATAGAAATGCAATAAAATAGTGTCTGACCTATCTAAACATGCTGGGTTATTGATTTATTTCCAAGCAGCTTTCAGATGAGAGAATTCATACTATTCCAGGCAAGTAACTCTGAGTGAGTCTGTACTATTTCTCTTGGATTAGATACCAACATTGTTGAGTTTTTAATGCTAGAAATCTGATGAAGAACCTTTCTGTGAGTGTGTAATGTACAGGTATGTGGGTTTGTTGAGACATCAGAAGGAGAAACTCGGTGGAGAACTTTCATCCAACGAGGCAGAGCGATGACACCCAGGGGAATGTTAAATTCAAATAATGAACATTTATGATCAGCAAGTCAGTGTCACATGCTATCCTACTGCCTGGGGACAAGCCGTGTGTTGGGGGGTCCCAGGTTCTGTGATTCGTGAGGGAGACTCACAGGACACAGCGTGTAGTTGAGTCTGTGATTTATTGTAGCGAAAGAATGCAAAGTGAAATTAGCAAAGGGAAAACACTCAAGGGAAAAATCTAGAGGAAACCAAGCATATGCTTTCAGAAGTCCTCTCCCAGCAGAACTGCACAGCATGCCCTTAATCCCTCCAGCCAGCAGTTGGGACCACACGTGTGAAATGTCACCCTACCAGGGAAGCTCATTTCAGAGACTTGGTGCCCAAGGTTTTTTTTTTTTACTGGAATCTGGTCAAATGGACACTCTCTGCCTAACCCATACCAAAATTCTAGACTCTCAGAGGGAAAGCAGATGTCCAACATAGCGCACATTGTTTGCATAGCCAGTTTAGACACAGTGAGCCGTTCTTATCAGGAAATGGTGGGAACCCTCCCGAAACCCAAGATCCCGGACTCCAGCCAAGGTCTAACATTGTAAGCAGGCCTTTGGAGGACTAGCATTCTTTGGCGTGCTGTTAACCCTTTTATGCACACAGTGGTTTAAATAACTTATGACAGTACAGATGGTTAAATACAATGATTAATTCATCTGATTATAGTTACCCAGCCTTCAAAGGGTCAGATAGGAATGAGATAAATTCGACATAGTTATGGTACTTTGTCAAACTCAATTCAGCACCTCAGTTGCTCCCTGCCCACCCACTGACAAGGTGTGGTGCTTATAAAGAGCTCTGTGGCTGATTTCCAAACTCACCTCGTAGCCTCTTTCTAGAACTCACGGTGCATCCCAGGGGCTCTGTCTTCTGCCTGTCATGTCACTTCTTTCTGCTTAGCCCTTAAGGTGGGTGTTTGGGGCCACTTTTCTCTTTGACTTGACTGGATTTTGACACAGCCTTACCCTTACCAAGATTCCTAACGCCCTACATTTCATCTGGCCTCCTGGGCCCCCTTGTTTGCTGCCCCAATCATGTTTGAAGCCTTAGTTCCTGGGGCTTATCCCCTCAAACAAAACTTAAAAGTCATTTAGTTTCTACTTCCAGTCTTTGGCTAATTTTTATCCCCTTGCCAACTGCTGGAGAGATGCTTGGAGCTATAAAATACAGATTTGTCTGCCTGTCCTCGTGGAGTCGTCTTATACAGAAGCTTTACTGGCTGAGGCTGACAGTAACCAGCACCCTCAGCCAGCTCTGCACCTGCTGCTCCCACTGCCCTTGCCCCCACTAGAGGGATTTACCCAGCCCTGCCCTCTTTCCTCTTTGAGGAGTGGTGGTAGCAGCAGTACCAAGCTCCAGGTTTACAGGGTTCAGGTTGGAGATGGGAACAAATGGGGGAGCATATGTTGTCTTCTTGGTCTCCAAAGTCTTCTGGGTCCCATGTTTAATGACCTAGCCAAGGAATCACAAAAAGTCAGCTTCCTCCCTGGTAATCCACTCCAGCCCCTCGTAACTCAGACATCCGGAGATTCTTGGGAACTTGCAGGTATTTGTGTCAGCTCAGACCCAGTTTTCTCACTTTATTGGATCTCCTCCGAAAAGGGGCACAGAGATATGAAATCACCCTCCAGGGAGTTTAGGATATGCTCACAGTGACTCAAATGACAAGAAAAAGTCATCAAGAAATGCTGGGTCAGGAGCCAGGTCCTGGAAAGCTGTGGACGCGGTGATACAGGCCCTTGAAAGACAAGAGCTGTGATCAGACTGGCATTTTAGAATGATCTCTGGGTAGCTGGAGGGAGACGAGATGGAGAGTGAATCTGGAGGCCAAGGGACAAAGATAAGAAATTTTTCCCAGGAATCCCACTCCTGGGCATATATCCAGAAGGAACCCTACTTCAAGATGACACATGCACCCCAATGTTCATAGCAGCATTGTTTACAATAGCCAAGACATGGAAACAGCCTAAATGTCCATCAACAGATGACTGATAAAGAAGATGTGGTATATTTATACAATGGAATACTACTCAGCCATAAAAACCGACAACATAACGCCATTCGCAGCAACATGGATGCTCCTGGAGAATGTCGTTCTAAGTGAAGTAAGCCAGAAAGCGAAAGAAAAATACCATATGAGATCGCTCATATGTGGAACCTAAAAAACAAACAAACAAACAAAAAAACAAACAAAGCATAAATACAAAACAGAAATAGACTCATAGACATAGAATACAAACTCG